CATGCTGGGCCTACCTTCCGTCGAGCAAACGGAGCCATAGTCGAAGCAAACTCCTTCCTTCGAGCAAACATCAGAACGAAGTTGGTGAAGGTTTGCTGAAACTCCAATCCATCTTCCATAGGTGTCAACAGAGCCAGTCTGGTTCCTTCGACGCGTTTGTTCGCTATCTCTGGAGCCTGCTCATTTATTTGAACCTTCTTAGGCAAGAAAGATTCGAAGGTGGCATTGAGCCACAGTTGGAGCAGCCAAAAAGGCCCAGCAAGTAGCAAACTGGCCCTGTTCTCGATAATTTTTAGAAGAGTGGCCCCATTACTAATCGAATCATAGAGGCTAGCCAGAATCAATTCTGCCAAACAGACATTCTGGCCATGATGGAGTTGAGTGGCGAGAGTGACCATCTTCTTGGTCACCTGTAAGGACTTCGAGCAAAATACAAAGCGAGTCAGCCATAAGGCTAGAAACGCTATGTGTTCGACATCCGACACAGTATCTGTCGACCTGTCGTGATAATGGTTGATGAAAGTGGTATAGGTTGGTTTGGTGTCAGAGAAACCAATTTGATCCTCCGACATCTCCTCCGGATCGAAGTAGTCCCCGGTGGGTCGAAGGCCAGTAATAGCGGCCACATCGAAGAGTGTGGGAGTTAGCATCCCACAGGGAAGATGGAAAGTAAAGTGGGAGTAGTCCCAGAAAAGCAGAGAAGCTATCAACATCTCCGGAGAATAGTTCAAACCTGTCTTCGACAGCATCACCAGGTCGAAAATCCCCATCTTTTTCCAGATCGAAGCTTGGCACTTCTCCATCTTTTCCAGCCAAGCAACGTAATCAGGAGTAAGGCTAGGGCCAGACCTGAAAGCCCTAACGCCTTTGTTGAAGAAGCGGAGGTCGATTTTTTCATGCGCAGGGTCTTCTGCGTCTTTCTTGGCGCATGCAACCGGTTTGAGTTTCTCAACTACCGGAAAATAACTCTTGATCTTCATGGTCTCAGCAATACTTGGATACATGGGGCCAGACATAGCAAAGATCTGGTTGGAGTATCCAACCGGGATCATAAGGTGGCGTGAGTAGGCATCACGAACGGCGATGTCCAAGGGTTCAGGGACCCTTCGTTTGCCCGTAGAAGTTACTACTGGAGCAGTGACGAAAACCTTAGGTTTGGCGTTTTCAGATGGTACAGTAGCGCTAGGAGCATTAGAACCAGATGCCATTGTTAAATGATGAGGTTGAAGACGAAGTGAAGGAGGAAATGTTTTTGCAAAGATGACAAGTTGGTATGAAAACAGAGAAGTCTGAAAGCTAGATGGCGTAAAAAGTCCCACAATGGGGTACTTACTGCTATTTATAGTAGTGGGAAAAAATCCCCAAAACCGAGGACATTAAATGCCATTTAATTATTGCAGGAGATAGTGGGACGCGTGGCAGCCCCCTGTTGTTTTAGCCGTTCTGCAGAAATAGAGGGACGCAGCGTGCGTCCTCGTTTTTTGGAATTGTCATAATGACAAATTCTGAAATGACGTTTGGTACTGCACGCCGTACTGAAAGTGACGTCTTAGGTACGGATAAATGATGGTTTTTCTTGGGATTGCCAATGGTTGGTAGAAAACAACAAAAAGTGTACAAGTTAATTTGTGACTAAGCGTGAAAGGACAGGTGTCGAATGGCGTTTCAAAGAATGCCTTTTTCTTTCAGAGTCGAAATAAGGCATTCTTGGGGGGCAATTTGTTGGCTCCTAAATTCGATACCCTTGTTTTATTAATGTCAGCCATTAAAAGCTGAAGGATGTTTTCGACTGGCTAAGTCTGTCGAAATGCCCGTCGAAAGATGGCAAAGTACTTAGAAGATTTCTTCCAAGGGAGAAGTTGGTTGCCTTCGACGTCGAAGGAGTTTCTCGTCGAAGATGTCTCTCGACGAAGGTGTTCGATGGTTCAGAGTGGAGCAGTTTGAAATTCAAGCTTTTGGAGGGAAAGCGGTTTCCAGCAGTTACCAAGTGCAACGTGCAAAGATCTGGAGCGTCGAACGTTGAGAACGTGCCAAGTGGATTGATCTCGAAGCAGTGTAACTGCCCGACGGTTACTTGGGATGTTTTAGTATAAATAGTAGTAGTCATGTAGTTTCTCGGGTGTGTTCACAATTCTATACAAAGTCACTCATATAGATTCGAGTACCCAGCGTGTGAGAAAGAATTGTTGAGAAATGTATGTGTGAAACACCAACTTTATTAATCAAAGTCATTTACTTTTCCAGAAATTTACTTGCTTTCCTCTTTACATTCCTGTCGAAGCCTTTTACTTTAAGCCTTGTTTATTTTACCAAGTCCTTTCTTCATGCAATTTCATTTAAAGCCTCTTTATTTTATTTAAAGCCTCTTTATTTAAAGCCTTATCCAATTTAATCAAACTTCAAAATCAACCTATGTCCTAGGATCAATCTGATCGATCCTGCGAGTAACCAAATAAGTAACCATTTGGAGGATCAGCGGTTGTTTACCAAATACCAAGGTAAACACATAGTCGGGCAGTGAAAGGAGTATGACAACCCTCAGGAGATATAATTACAACACCAATGCAATTACCGAGTGCGTTCGAGGCCCCGTCAAAAACCATAATCCATCGGGATCCTTCTTCATGTCCTTCATCTGGTCCAGGTTCTTCATAGTCAGTCACTAGCATAATATTCTCGTCCGAGAACTCAAAATTCATGGACTAGTAGTCATCCACAGCCTGATGAGCCAAATGATCAGCTAATACACTTCCCTTGATTTCTTTTTAGGTTGTATTTTGTATATCGTATTCAGTTAAGATCATCTGCCATCTTGATATTCTTCCCGAGAAGGCTGGCTTCTCGAAGATGTACTTGATTGGATCCATCTTAGATATCAACAAAGTGGTGTGGGTCAACATATATTGTCTTAGTCAGCAAGCAGCCCATGTCAAAGCGCAGCAAGTTTTCTGGAGCAGTGAGTATCTTATCTCACAGTCCTTTGAACTTTTTGCTAAAGTATTAAAAATCACAAAGAAATTACAAATAATCAAAATAAAATAGTTTAAAGCGTTAAGACAACGTCGTAATAAGTTAGTGATAAATTCCTAATACAACGTTATATTGATCTTTGTCCAAAAATCTTAGCATTACATTTTTTTCAATAGTGATAGTTCCATGTATAACTTATAGTCATTAAGTTCAGGTGAAGTTGAAATTCAATTGTTTTTGAGAAGAAAAAAAAGAAGTCGACATGATTTATTTTGTTATGATATTATAACACTTCTGCATTATATGTTATCTTTGAAAAAAGAAATGAAAGTCGACATAATTTATTTTGTTATGATATTATAACACTTTTGCATTATATGTTGTCTTTGAGAAAAGAAAAGGAAGTCGACATAATTTATTTTGTTATGATATTATAACACATTTACATTATAGGTATGTTTTATCCGATATAGTTTGTTAAAAATGATTTTATATATATATATATATATATATATATATATATATCCAATAAGTTTTATTTTTTATCAATTCTTTTCAAATATTCAATATTTTTCACATTTTTTCAGAATTCGTTCCGTTTTTACTGGCAATAGTTTAAAACGTTAGACAGGATAAAAGCATTCCCTCGTGGTGGTGCCAGATCAATTGCAGGATAAAACATGGTGAAATTAATGTCACTCCGACGTTATACATGACACCCTTTTAAATGGTATGAAAAAATCAAATTATCCAAACTCAAATTATTCACCACAAATTCCAAATTTACATTACCAACCAGATTTTTCAAATTTTTAGACAACACGAAAATTTCAAAGGCGATACAGAAAATTTCGTGAACAGATAATAATTTCCGATAGATTTGTAAAATTTCCAATAATTTATATCAGACATTTCAAAATATCTAATATTTTCTTATCAAAAATTTCAAAATAAGTACTGTTCATTACCATTTATATCGGAAATTTTGAAATTTCCAATACGTCACAAAATACTGAAAATTTAGCAAAAATATCAACTTTTAAAAAATCATGTTTTATAACTAGTAATTTCAATTGAAATTTCCAGTACACCAGAAATTTTAAATACATTACCTAAAAATGGAATAAAAAATTGAAAGGTGACATGGTTAACTTAGGATGCAGCATGTTAATTCCTCTAAAACATAGCTCTATGTAGGCTTTGGCTGGCCCAAAGATATGGCACAACATAAGGTTTAAAAGCATTGTGATATGAGTGTTCTAAACGAAGAAAGAGTTTTGGGCGAGCCTCATGGAATACAAGATTATCTTGTGCAAACTTGCTCAACTAAATCATATATTTGGTAGGGTTTGGCCAATGATAGGATGATTGAAGATTAAGTATTTATTTCCAATGAAGGCAAGATACTATATTAACTGCGTTCAAGGCATGTGGTGTGACTTGGAATGATGCATCAAAATCAAGATACACAGTTTTTTATAAGTGAGGAATTACACCATTGAGAACCCGGGTAATGAAATGGCAGTAGTGATCTAAAAGGCATCATGGGAAAAGCATGAGATTGTTGTTGCCAGAGATCCAGAGGAGTAGGATTGGTGTAATCAATTAGAGTAATGAAATGGTGATCTAACAGGCATCATTATTGAGTGAAGTGGCACTTTCAAATTCAAGAAACCTACTAATGAAGGCTAATGCATTGAGGTTTCTCTAAAACACATTTGTTTAATAAAAATTTGCAACAGCAATATAACCTACTAATGAATTTCTCTTCGAACAAAACTTTAGACCAAAACGTTTTCAACACAAGTAGTAAATCCAAAGGAATTTCAGCAAAACTAAACAAATGAACACCACAGATTCAAGTCGAGAATAAAAACGCGAATAGAAAAATTTTAAGATACGCAGAGTTAGGGTGTAAAACCAAAACAAGAACAAAGTAAACAATTATTGAAAAGTTCCATCTAAACAACAGAAACATACATGAGAAAAAAAACAGAAACAACTACAATTGATTGAAAATAGCGCACTATTTAGATCTCTGTCTCATCTTTCGACGCTTCCTCTTCAATCTCCTCATACGCTTCTTCTTCCACTGAAAAAACAACAAAAATAATTCAAATCAGAACAAAACATTATGATAAATAATGGCGATTATGATAGGTTATAAGAGGTTAGTGAGTAAATGGAATAGATGATTCACCTTGGCTCTCATCGTGAACGGTGTTTTGATCAGTCGGAACCCTAGGTGATGGCAGCTGAATGAGAGAAAGTGAAGCTAGCAACGTTTTATAGCGGATATTAGAAACCCTAATAGATAACAAGCATGAGTTGTGCTTTAATTCGAAAGCCCAATGGGCTTAGATATTTCTGAACAAAAAGTGGGCCATTAAGACTTGGGCTTTCATTATTTATTATAACACCTTTCATTTTAAAACAAAATCTACTTTTTGGACATTTTATAAAAGTTGTAATTTACCAGATTTTTTTAGTCTTTTATCTAATATTTACAAGTAAATCTTTTTTTTCCAATAAAATTATGATATTTTATCGGCAATTTAAGATTCATACCGCATCTTTTGGAAGATCATGATTTTTTCCGGCATTTTTGAGATGTCCGATAAAATCTCATATTTTACATGCTTTTATACTGATAACAAATATGTATTTTTTCTGACATTTTTGAAAAGTCTAGTAAAAATGCATATTAGATATTTCAAAAAATACGGTAAAAGAGGATATTGGATATCAAATTTTTCAAAAATTCCAGTATAACTATTTTATTTCTGGATATATATATTTACTATAGCGAGGACTAGAGGAAGAGACAACATGATTGCTTTTAAACAAACTGACAAAGTTGAGAAAATAGTTGTAGAGAGCTTTCATGCAGGGGCAGATGACGGGGAAGATTCGTATATCTGGGCAGATAGAGTAGTCTTCATCAGCTCTTACAAGAGGAAGATTAAACACTCACGTGCACCTCGTACTTTCTAGCGTAACAGATGTAGAGTTGGATTGGGCAGAAGTCTTGACGTAGAGCCCAATGATGTTGTTGACGATGTAAAGATATCAACTTAATAAGATATAGAGACTCATGCTTAGAATGAGGCTCAGGCTAACACAGAGGTTCAGGCCCATACTGACCTAGAAGTGGTTGCTCATGGTGACACAAAGGTGGAGGCTGAGGTTGACACGGAGGTGGCAACTCAAGTTGATATGGAGTCGTCTGTACACATAGATGAGGGCTTCCCTAAAAGGACTAGTGATCATACCTTGCTCACAGCATATGTCGATCATGTGGCATTGAGAGGTATATATATATATATATATATATATATATATATATATATATATATATATATATATATATATATATATATATATATATATATATATATATATATATATATATATATATATATATATATATATATATATATATATATATATATATATATATATATATATATATATATATATATATATATATATATTTGTTTTTATTTATTATTGATTAATTGAAAATATTTGACAATTTATACTTTAACTGTTACATGATTGAACCTCTCTAATGGTGCCCACATATGGGAAAAGTTAAAGAATTTCTCAAATGTCTAAATACATTATGAGGTCAGATAAATTATCGATAATGTTGGTCTGCTTTCTTTGGTGGACTGTTTGTTACCCATGCTCAACGTTCTACTATTGTCCATTTTTTAAGCGGTCGCATAAGGAGACATCCTCCTTTCATCTTCCATTTAGTGAGATTACGATTACCATGGATGATGTCTCTTATCTCTTCGACCCCCCCTTGAAGGTAACTTATTCACTGCTTCACTCATTCGCCAGTAGCTTGCATTTAGTATGGCTTAATAATACTTGGGGGTTACGAAGGCTATGATCATTGAGTAGTTTAGGGTTAACAGGGATTCTCACTTTCACATCTTTTGGCTTTGAGATAAGTATCACACACTGGTGGAAAACTCTATGAATGAGGAGGATAGTAGGGCATACATGTTGCATCTTGTAGGATGTATTATCCTAGAGGATAAGTCTCATGTTTACATTGATGCTATATACATCTCTCTGTTTTTAGAGCTTGAACATACTGAGTATGCATGGGGTGTCATGCTTTGATTGTACTATATACTGACTTGGAGAGGCTACTATCTTTGAGATGAGGCAACTTGATGGTTAAGTGAGTTTATTTCAAGTATGAATATTGATTATATTTTATTTATTTGATTCTTATTTATAAAAGACATTTTGTATATGTAATTTCCTCTTGTTTTGCAGTGTTGGATATACAAGCATTTATCATCCATTTGTGACAAGTGTGTTTGTGGTCCTACCGTTGATGGATTGCCACGTACCACTAGATGGGTGGCTAACATTAACATCCATGAGGTCTTTAGGAGTAAAAGTGGAGTATCGATGCGGTGACCGTAACTGATGTCATATGGACACCCTATGTAAAGCATGTCGTCCATTGGGACTTTGATGACACTACCCTATTTTTGGGTTATCTGCGATGGGAAAGTTTAGTGGCTAGATATGAGAGTGTCTGCTCTAATTTGGGTATACTCGGAACATCCCTCAACTAGTCCTTGTTGTGCCATCTAAGGGCATATGGATAGACGATTTATATCTAACATTATCAGCGGTGTCATTGCTATTAGAGAAAATGCATTGGAGGTACATTTATCTTGGCAGTGTCAAAATGGTTACTTATAGTTATAGGTGTACGTGGGCCAATTTGGGTTGGGTTTGGCCCAACCTAATACCCAACGCGTATATGACGCTCTAGTTTGGGTGAGATAAAATAACACTCGTTACACCAATGTGTCAGTTTGGGCAAACCCATTAATTTTTGGGTTATGTTGGGTTGGGTAGTGAATTGCCCAAATAATTTTTCTATTTTATTAATATTAAATGACTAAATGATGAGTCATCATATTTTTTCATAAATATTACTCAGCATTTTTATCTTCTTAAAAAAAATAGATAACTTATTTTTACTATCTTTTAGCATCATAAAATAATACATAATATCGTCAACTAATAAAAATTATCATAAAATCCTAGCAACAAACTAAAGTTGCATGACATAAAATTGTATTAGCATGAAATTAACTAAATCGTGGAACATTTAAAATTAGATAAAGGACGGCATTCGGAGAATACCGAGCTCCATTCCTTGTGGGAACAATATTTGGCCAATGTCCATACCTCAGTTCACGAGCTCTAGATTAATAGGGCCCCATTACCCTAGGAGTCAGAGTGCGAAAGCAAAAAAAAATTACAACAACTAAGTTAATATTTATCAAAATCATTAAAATTGTAATAATAAATGTTTGATTAGTGGCTTAGTGGATTTTTTGGGTTTGGGTCTGATTTTACCTAAAACTCGAAGTTTCTAATGGATTTTTTAGTTTCTAAACTCATATCCACCAAATTACCCGGCCCAATCTACTTTTTTGGATTTTGTTGGGTGGGTTTGAATGGATTTTGTGGGTTGACCCAACTCATGTACACCCTGTAATACTGTGGGAGAACTGACTTGGTTTTACGTTTCATCGCAAATATGCGGATAGCAAGAGTTGCCACCGACTTTTCTTTTATCCAATAAGAAAACGGTGAAAACAGAAAAAACCTTTGAGATTTTTGAGTTTGGGGTGTAGGTTATGAAAAGGGGAGCTATTAGCACCCTTTTCATCCATAGTTATCTACGGACTCTTAATCGCTTAGCTCACTTTGTTTTGAAAATTGCTTTGTGTTGTGCATGTTTAAAAATATTTTGAAAATGCCAATTGTAAGGTAACTTTGTAATGAATCTCGTATTTGTCCTCGAGAACATGTACAAAGGGTTTTTGAAAATATTTTTTAAGAGTGTTTGTGAAAAATGTTTTTGTTTTGAAGAGATTCGGGAGCAAGCGATTAATAGCGGTCTACCTACTCAAGGTCTTTATTTTACTTTTCTTCCTCCTTTAGATAATGTTACCCTACCATTAGTTAGTAGGAAGCCCTATCGCTGGATGTGAAGGGACATGCGAGGGTCATCGTACAGTCATCGAAGGCAACTCGTAAGGACGCTTTAGCAATTATCGTTTAAGGGACTAGATCATTTACCGAAGGCAACATTGAAAGGGTCATCGAGGGACTATGATATTTTGTATCGGAGGGACTTTGCTAAAGCGTCCCCACTTTCGAGGGACATGATTGTTTAATCGAAAGACAACAAGAGAGGCTACCCTAGAGGTGTGGGTGTGCGATGTGTGTTGTTTTCAGTTACTTTATCTTTGAGAATAGGGTTTTCTATCGTCAGGTTTTATCTTGCCATACACCCTAATTACTAACAATAATATAGTAAAATAATAGCAGGAAAATTAAAGTGTAGAAAATAAAATTCTTATGCTATTACATGGCATTGGGGCAGTTACATACTAGAGCAGTTACATAATAATGGAAAAGTGGAAGATAAAGCTATTTATAAATTGCGAATCCCATACACTTTATCTATGAAAATAAAATAAAATTAAAATAGAGAAAGAAAAAAAAGAAATGTTTTTGATGATTTTTTATGGAAAAGGTTTTTTTTAAATGATGATTAAAATAAACCTAAAAACTAACTAAATTTTAATTAACAAAAATAGTTGATTAATTAAATTAATAAAAAGGTTAATGATGAATAAGCCTAAAAATTAATTATTTTTAATTAAAAAAATAATTTATTAATTAAATTAATAAAAAAAGTTAATGATGAAAAACCTAAAAATTAATTAATTTTAATTAACAAAATAATTGATTAATTAAATTAATAAAAAGGTTAATGATAAAAAACCTAAAACCTAATTATTTTTAAGGTTTACAAAAAAAATTAGGTTTGTAAAAAAAAGTTTGTGGTTTTATGGTTAGGTGAATTTAGGGTTAAGTTTTCTAAAAGAATTAGGGTTTATGGGAACAGAATTAAGGAAAAACCACAAGTTGAAAGCAAAACTAAACAAATGTCAGGGGTGGATGTTGAACCCACGCCCTTAGCCTTCTAAACTGCATTAAGGGAAAAATATTGAAAAAGAACAAGTTAGAAGCAAAATCACACAAAAATGTCAGGGGTGGATGTTGAACCCACGCCCTTAGCCTTCTACACCGCATTAAGGGGGAAAATAGGGAAAAAGAACAAGTTAGAAGAAAAATAAAGAAAAATGTCAGGGGTGGGTGTTGAACCCACACCCTTAGCGTTTATCACTGTATGCCTTGCCACTGCGCCAGAACTCACATATTATACATCAAACCTGCTCTAATGATGTATATGAACACATGTAAACATATCAAATTAGTTAACAATGCATAAATCAAAAGTTTGAATTAAAAAATAAATTAAAAAATCGGTGAGGATGAACGTGATATTCTGGGCACGATCTTGACTGCATGAGAATTAGGATGAATTCCTGGGAACTTCAAGATGCTAATGTAATGCTTGATTTCAATTGAGAAGGGTTGGAAACAAGGGTTTTATGTTGCCCTAGTTTCTTGAATTTATGGAAGTTTTGGAATAGTTTTCTCTATAAGGGTTTTCGTGTGATGTTATGTCTGAATGAAGAGC